CCGCTGCCATCCTCCTGCCTGCCCCTCGCCGGGCTGCCGAAACGGCTGAGCCGAGGCGTCACCCACGGCGGCGAGACCTACGGCTCTCGCGAGGCCGGGGGAGGGAGGCGATGTCGGCACTGCGCATGCGTAGGGCGGTGCCCTCGCTCAGGCGGCGGGTGAGCCCCGCCCCGCGGCCGCTGTCGCTGTGGCCCGGGGAGGAAGGGAGGGCGGGCGGACCGTCCCCGCTCCCGCCCTTCGAAGGGCCCCTTACGGCTCGGCAGAGGAAAACAGGGCCGAGTGACCTTAGAAGCGGGCGAGGCGGGAACCGCCAGGCCCTGCAGACGCTTCCTGCGGTTTCAACAGCTCCATTGGCAGCGCACGGGTTACAAATAAAACCGGTTTATTCGGCTTCATGGCATAAAATACAAACGTTAACAACGTCTTGAAACGCATAATACAAGTTCCACATGTAAAACTAAGGCGCATGCAAAACTGCCTTTTAAAAACCTGTCCACCTAAAATACAAGCACTTCAGAAGGCAGGAGTGTTTCTGCAGGTTGCTGTAGCGTTGCCTGGCAATCGTGCAGATGATGAAGCAGCTCCATGCTGGTGAAAGATGGCCCTGACACGGGGACTCCACTCATTCCCTGTATATTTCAGTTGGGGTCATTTAAGTTTTTTTGTCAAGGCAGTTGAGAGGGGTAAGACTGGGGGGCTCACCCACCCCTAAACTGTTAATGCAGTAGCTACATTTCACTACCGTAACAGAAAATGTTCATTCTTGGTTGTGAATGTCCACCAAATGGCTAGCAGATCTTTAACCTAAGGTAAAATCTTTAGGTTACCCTTATTGCTAGGACCTGCACTCAGTGGAAAACATCACCACAGTTGGTTTATAAAAAGCGAAATGTGCAGAAATAATACATTGTGGGCCTGAATCTGAAATGCCAGCTTTAGAAAAATATAAGGATTCCATCAACTATTTTAGCAGGATTGGGAGCACTCTGGCTTACAAAGGCCATGTCAGAATCGCTGTCCCTCTTTCAGTCTTCAATTTCTTTTAAATTCAAGCATTTTTCTCTCATTGCTTTTGCAAGAAAAAATTATTTTGCTAAACAAGAATTTCTTTTGCTAAAAAAATATAATTCTTAGAAAGGGATTTGACTTCAGTACTTTAAGAAAAGTAGCCATTCAGCTTTAGTGTTCAGCTTCCCCTTTTGCTAGGGAACCTGTTTTGTGCTGCCCAGACATTTTCTATTTTTAAAAAATAATAAGGGAAAGAGACGGAAGGAGGTGAACCTGTCCAAACCTGAGTGACTGGAGAAAAATAGTGTGTGGCAATCACTTGTTTTGCTGTTGGAGACAATGTGCTGTGAAAACTCTCTGCTTTTCCTGTAATGATCTCTGCCTGCAGACAGACAAAGAGGATGCTCCATTAGCCAGCTTCGTGTGCAATCTCAGGAAGCTGAAATCCTAACTTTCTGCCTGGGGGCTGCTTCAAAGGCACTGCCCCCTCAACTGATCCTCAGCCGAGTTGGTCTGATAGCCTCCATCTCAAATGGTGGTGGAGGTGGTGGAGCACCCAGGTGCTTCCTGCCTAATGAAGCAAGCAGCCGTGGTCATTAAACATACTGTACTCCCATATAAATTTGGTCATGGCTCCAATTATGGCTCTTTTTACTCACAAAGGGCCCACCCTGCTATGTGAGCAGGATGGTGAGGAAGCCCTGACCAAGTGCATGCAAAAAAAGTCACTCAGCACTTTGGAAACTTAGCAAAGGCTCAGGTATGGACAGATGGGCCAAGCATAAATACTGTTCAGGAGTCAGCCATTTTCTTCTCAGCACTGCAGAATAAACCACAAAATTACTCCAAATGCGATCAGACAGAAAGCAGAGCACAGCTCCTCATTTGCAGGATTTAGGATTTAGTTGGGATATGTGCTAAGGCAAAGGCAGGTACCGTGGAAATTGTGCTATTTGAATGGGACAGATTAAAGCATTAAATATAAGCTCTTTAGTAGTGTTACTAGCACAATCCTGGCTTATTAAAACAAACTAAGCTTCTTAAAAGTGAAACTGCCCTTAAATGAATAATACTGTTTCCATTCCAGTTCTGACAAAACTGGCTTTGTTAATTTATTTTCCCTTTCAAGTCACTCTCGATTCTTGGGTCTCATGTAGGAAACTGCCATTATATTTTGATTTATTTTGGAAGTTAAATCTTTACCATCAAACTGCCTTATGTAAGTCTGAGACATCAGGAATATTTTTCTAAGTTACTTATAAAAAAACCCCAACAACTAAACCCCACAGGAAAATGCTTGCCAAATCTGACCCTGGCCCCAAAAATACCCATGTTCAGAGAGAGGAGGCACCAGGTAGTGCCATCCCCTGATGCTACTGCCCCAGCATGGGGAAGGGGACAGGTTCCCACTGAACTCTTCAAGTGTTAGGTAGGGAGGCAGAGCTGGCCCGTAAGTCCAGCCAGCTGGGCTGCTGACAGAGCCTGGTCACTGGCACATGGTCACCTGCTCCTGGTCCTTCTCAACTGTTTTCACTTAAAAAGCAGAACAAAAATAATCCTCCCAAACTCAAAGATCCTTACTGTGAAGAAATACAGGCATAAACTGGAGAGGACCGGATTGTAACACTTCTCACAGGTAATTAGCGATAGAATAAGACAGTATGGCTTTAAACTGCAACAGAGGAGTTTCATACTGGACTTTAGGAAAAAAATTTTCACAGAAAGTGGTCAGACAGTGGAATAGGCTGCCCAGGGAGGTGGTGCAGTCACCATACCTGGGTGTCTTTAAGGGTCGTTTAGATGAGATGCTGGGGGATATGGTGTAGGGGAGAACTTTGCAGAGCAGGGCTGATGGTTGGACTCGATGATCCCAAGGGTCTTTTCCAACCTGAATGATTCTGTGATTCTGGATTAACTTGTATGTGAAAGTTACACTCCCACTGCTCAAAGTCATATTTGTAAGGTCTGATTTAAGATCCGACTTCCTCTAATATACCATCAAGCCATAATTAGGCAGGAGGCTGGAAGCCCATCATCCAAAACTACCAGAGATACATTTTCAAAGGCACCAAAAGTTAACAGAAGTCATTTGATTTCTGCATTGGCTATCTCTACTGGCTATTGCAAAGTATTAAACAATGTGTTTAACTCCAGAAAGGCAAATAGGTTCCTACCAGTCATGACCTGGAATGGCCTCTTGCCTTCTTAGCAAGGTTTCTCAATAGAACAATTTTAACAGTTAGATAGGAAGCACAAGACTGCTTCACGTATTTTTTTCTGCTCTGAAAAACAGCCCTTGCCAAGAGGATAAGAGAAAAAATTTATAAACCCCACCTCCAGGGTGTTCCAGTCCCTGGACTCAGCACCCACCTACTTGTACCTTTTGCCTCATGGCCAAGGCTTCTGACCTACTGAAGGACAAGTCCGTTTCTGTAGCAAGGCGACAGGCATGCCTCCCCACAGCCCTCCTTGCCCGCTGGGAGGGTGGGACCTGCTACAGAGATCAGCTGAGTGATGCTGATGTGAAATGGGAGGAAGGCACCAGCAGGTCAGGTGCTGGCTTTGGTAGAAAGCAGCAGTATGGCTTTGACGCTTGAGAGGCAAGCCCAGACATTGCTGACGTGCAATCAGTGCTACCTGTAATTCACTCCCACACCTTCACTTCTCCTGCGACCAGCCCTCTCCTTCTCCCTGCTCCTCCACAGCCTCTCCTCTGACTGCGCAGCTCTGCCAGGACCTGGGCAGAGCCACAATAGCAAGAGAGGCCCTGCAAGAGTGTGGTTCTGGGCGCTGTCAAGCTGCCCAATGAGTTGCCTGAGCCCTATATGGCACTTTGCAGGAGCTACAGTCTGCGCAGAGCTGAGAAATTCAACCCTGGCCAGACAACAAGGTTTTAGCATCCCTGTTTTGGAACAGGGAAGGCTTGAGCTGGAGATATTAACAGGCTTGGCTACCATTTGACAGAGTCCAGATCAGCCCTGGGAAGCTCCTGGTCCTTGCTGTTGCTTCAGACCAGGCTCGGTGTCTCCATTTCAGCCGGGCTGCTGAGCTCAGGCAGCCGAAGAGACGGTGAAATCCACATCCTGAGGGATTTAGCAGGGAGGAGGGTTAACGAAGATCAAAGAAAAAAAAAAACAATGACACAAAAGCCTGGTCCTTGTTGCCCCGGCTGCTGGGCCAGCCACAGCCGTGGTGGTTCACTTTGTGTTCTGTGACAAGAGAGGCACAAGGCTGTAGCCCCCCGCCAGTGGCCTGTTGGAGTCATTTCATAAGAGCACAGCCTTACCTGCACTGAAGGAGCAAAGGGTAAGTACTTCGGCACAAGTCCACAGACAATAATAAACACTGACCTGTGCAAACTTCCACGCTGAGAAACAAAACCAAAAAAAAAGTGGTGAAGGAGAGGTGGGCAATAAAGCAGCCAGAGCATCCACCACGCCAAGACGGCAAGGGACCAAGCCTGCTGGGTGAGATTCATTTCGTATGTGCCAGCTTGGGCCCCCTCCACACCTCGTATCACCAGCAGAGGAGAGTTCAAAGACGGCTTTCCTGATATTACACAGTCTCCTGTTGTATAAAGCCTCACAGAAATGAAACATGAGGTTTGGGGAAGACACAGGTTTTTCCCATGGGCCCTGTGAAGCACACACGCACCTCACACTTGGCCACTGACCAGGGCAGGGGCAAGCAGCGTCTCCTGCTTTGCTCTTCCCGTGTGGGAGACAGGCTGCCGGGCATCGACTGGCTGGTGGCTCACACCCCCTGGTCATGGGTGTCCCCTCTTCTGCCTCTCCTGCCACTCCTGTCTCAGCGCTGCAATCTCCTGCCCATACCAGCTGTGCAGCTTGGAGAAGCAGGCTGTCTCTGGTGACACCGGGCTCTCTGGCATGGCTGGCGAGAGGCCAGGCACTGGGGACCCCGTGGCACTGCTGGCGGCAGAGCGTCGGCGTGGAGGCAGGGGCGGGGGCTTAACGTGCGCTCCGTCACGGTCAGGGCAGGTGGCCTCCCCAGGGACGCCACCACCACTACCCCACGTGGAGTAACCGTTCTCCAGGATGGCAGGCTTCTCCTGGAGAGGCAGCAAGGCAGGGTTGGAGAGGTGCCTCTTCCTCCCAGAGGAGGAGGACCTCCGTGGAGACTTACGGCAAGCGGCCAAGCTCTTGCAGGCCTCCTCCAGCTGCTTCTCCAGCTCCCTCACCACCAGCCGCATGTAGTCGAAACTGGCCCGTGAGAGCGCCTTCACCCAGGCCTCCATGGCAGCCTGCCCGTCAGCCACCAGCACGTAAGCCCTGGCACCGGCGTCGTCAAAGCGGATGGCAAAGGCGAACTCCTCAGTAGCCTCGCACAGCTCCACAGTGCAGCCCTCCAGAACCACCAGCCCCACAGGCTCCCGGCTCTCCCGCTCCTCAAAGTAGAAGAGGAGGTTGCCCTTGAGGATGAACCAGCGGCGCTGGTAGGAGGTGGCGTGATGGTGGTGGGCATGGTGGTGGTGCCGCTCCACGCGCTTGCGGAGGAAGCCAGCATGGTCGGCGGGCGAGTCGCAGGTGGCGTAGTGGGCCACGCTCCGCTCGTTCAGCTTCATTGCCCTGCCTAGGAGCAAAGTAAGAGAGGGGGAAGAAGTCAGCTTGGGACAAGGAACATCTTACCCATCCCACCAGGAGAAGTCTGATCCTGCCCCAAACCTGCTGCAGGGAAAAGCAGCCCTGTCTCCAGCAGCCAGCACTGCAGGACAGTGTCTAACCCAGCAAGTACCCCTGGAAATGGCATGCTGGCTCCTTGCTGCTGCAGAGAGGAGGTCATCACCAGAGCCCCACCACCGAGACACCTGCCTTCTCTGGGGACACCACCACTGCTGCTTTGTTTCTTATTCCACAAGTGACCTACTTTGCTGTTTTTTTATGGGGTGCATCAAAGAAATTTGCCTCTGTGCCTGTAGGACATTCATTTCGCTTTCCTCTATTACAGAGCAGGGTAAGGAGGATGTTCTCAGACCCAAGGGCTCTGGGACCTCCATTTGAGCACCCTTTCTCTGCTCCCCATCTCCACGCAGGACCACCCATCCCCACCAGCCTTCCAAGCAGCAGCATGCCCAGCCTTGGCAGGTTCACCAGCAGCAGGGTGCAAGGTGCTGTACCGGCTGTTCGGGTCAGACCACAACCCCTTGCTGTCTTCCTTAGATGGGCTGCTCCCTTGCCGAGGGCCTCTGAAGCTTCACTGTGCCGAGCCCCATCCCTGGCTGGAGGAAAGGTGGCAGAGAGGGAGTCACAAACCAGACCAGCTTGGGAATGAAAGAGCTAAGAGCTGCATCACTCCCACCCCAGAAAGCGAGGGCCCTTGGTGCACAGGAGTGGCCAGGGCTGGGCACCACAGGCAGGCAGCTCTGGAAACTGGAGTGGTGAAACCGGGAGCACCTGCATTGGCTTCAGAGCCTGAGCCCCATCCCAGCTCAGGCCAGCGCTCCTGTAGGGTTGGTTTTTGGCTCCTATGGGTTTGTTTTCTGGCTCCTACGAGTTTGGTTTTTCGGCTCCTGGGGGTTTGTTTGAGTTTTATTAAAAAAAAAAACCCAAACCAAACCAAAACAGCTTTTGTAGAAGTCTGTTACTGCACCATCTGCAGAGGCCCCACGGCAGGCGACTCGGCAAGCTGGCAGGTCCCACAGAAGGACACAGCGAGCACAGCCTTTGCGATTCTACAGCTGCAAATGGATGTCCGACCGCTAAAACTCTGCACACAGAAATACGTGGGAAACAAACCACGGCCGCCCTCCCCGGCCAGATCCGGGCGGGGGCAGCTCCCCCCTGCTGAGCAACTCCAGTATCCCTCCCGGAGCCCTCCTGCCCCGTCAGGGCTGAGGACAAGGGTGCACAGACCCAGCTGGAAAACGGACAAGAATCTCATCAGACATACGGAAACGCAGCTCCCTGGAGTGCTTCGCCCTCGGCGCGACACTTTGAGGAGCCTCCAGCCTCGCACAGCCCGGCCGAGGTCAGCCGGGGCGGCCCACGCCAGCGCTGCCCTGAGGGGGCAGCGGGGGTCCGGCGGGGCCGCTGTGCGCGTGTGCAGTGCCGGGCTGCGCGTCTTTGTGTGCCTGCGTGTGCCACGGGGCTGCGCGTCTTTGTGTGCCTGCGTGTGCCACGGGGCTGCGC